CATAAGTTATCAAAAAACAAGAATGCTTGGATAGCTACCTTGGTTAAATGATTATAAATGGTTGAGCACACGGAAGTAACTAGATACGTGAAAGAATTTTCTAAGATAAATCATTTATAAGTAGAGTCACTACATCTTATATAAGATTTATAGGTCTTCAAATTATGGTTAGTATAAAATTAAACGCAAGTAAAATTTGTTATACAAATTAAAGTAGCAGATAATTAGTTATGTATAAGGAATGAAGGCAGGATTTTTAGTAAATAGCAGGTACATAGAGCCACACATCGCAGTAATTACACTAAAATTTAGGCTATTGTTTCTCTATATAACCATTAAAAATATTCATACTAATGCCCATGTAATCTATTGCAATATTCTAAAATTCGTATTGAAAGAATGTAGTCTTATGTTGTCGCGCTTTGAATATGTGGACCTCTTTCGTCATTTATTTATTTAACTAATTACAAGTTTTTGATATACCAACAGGAATTAATTAATATAGCCATACTTCTAGTTAAACGCTTACTTTAATATAATTACAATCGGGATTTCAGAAGTTATAAAAGTAACTACTAAAATCAACTTGCGTACCCATTAGTTTCATAGATTGACTGGTTTTAATAACAAGGTCAATATCCGGTGGGTCCATTTAATATAATGAAGAAGAAAATGAATCTAGTTTTTTTTTCTATTTCGGATAGACAGGCATTATTAACAATAGATTAATAAATATTAAATATTTTCTGAATCTATCATTCCTTGATTCAGCAGGGAACTTTATAATACTTTGCTTTTCGTTCTTTTTTTAATAGTTTGTTAGCATATATTAAAAGAAATTTTTTTGTTACATATAATGCAACCCTAAATGAAAATAACCCTAAATATTACCATAGTCAATTTACCCCGCCTACGGCCCAATCACGCCTTGCGCACTCATGCTCCTGTCTTCGCTCCGACCTGTCCTCTCGGGCCGCCTGAGAATCCTCAATAACGCGACCCATATAGTTAAGCCTTCTTACTCAAACACTGTTTCAAGGTTCTATCTTGATCCATTAGTCGAGGGGATCCCAGATAATGCCAGAAGATACGTCGGTAGATGGCTTTTAGGCATGGCCGGTATGTGTATGGGCGCTGTTGTCCTTGGAGGTGTCACCAGGCAAGTACTTTCCAATTGTCTAAAATTGTTAGGCTCACGGAATCAGGCTTATCGATGGTAGATTGGCATCCGTTTAAAGAGCTACCTCCTTTAAATGAAGAAAAATGGAAATCCGAATTCGACAAGTACAAGATGTTTCCTCAGCATGGCTAGTGACTTTTTTATTCTTATATATATTTAAAACTAGTCTTCTTCGTGAACAAGGGGAAATGACCCTCGAACAGTTTAAATTTATTTGGGCCATGGAATACATTCATCGAATGTGGGGTCGAGTTACTGGTCTGGCATTTATTGGTCCAGCTGCATACTTTCTTTATAAAGGGTACATATCAAAACGCATGAAGCCGCGATTATTACTTTATGGTGTTCTTATCGGTTTCCAAGTGCATCTATATTTCTTTTTTATATCAAACCATTTGACATTGTTTTAGGGTTTGCTGGGTTGGCATATGGTGAGAAGCGGACTTGAGGAACCAAAGAAACAACCGGGTACTGATGCTTTGGAGATGCCTCGTGTCAGTCATTATCGCTTATGCGCCCATTTATCTGCAGCTGCAGTTTTGTACTCCCTTTTCGTGTGGTCTGGGATAGCTCATATGACCAAACACCCATTGGTATACAATTATGCCTAGTTTACTGGTGTTTTCGCACTAAAAATCAGTTTTATTAATGCATCTATTTGTTTCTAGGTTCCTCGTTATTCAAATTTACTACGTTTAAAAGTTTTGACGCATTCTACTAAGACTATTGCTTTTGTAACATTGATGTATGGTAAGTATTCGATTCATATTT